TGCTATGTTTAGGCAAAAACTATACTGTCAAATAAAAATAAAGAAAATAAGAATAATCTATCTAACTACAAGCAACAGCACAAATAAATACAATAGAGTAAAGAAACAAATAAAATAAACAGTGATTTTTTTAGGTAGGTCTAGCATTAGTTTTTAGGTACAGAAATTGAATAAAGTAATCAAAACAGCATTGCATATTTGACTGTATAAATTAAAAATTAATCTTCATTAAAGTTACAAAAGCTAATCAATCAAGAGCAGTGAGTGATTTCTCTGTTGTTGCTGTTCGATTCATATTAAGAAATTGCTGTCACTTTAAGAGAATGCACTGATACGTTCAGCCGGCTATGTCTGCTAATTATATTATTTTCTTTTCTTTCTTCAATTAATGTGTTAAAAAATGTTTAACATGTTTTTGATAAAAACATATTATGTATTAATTAAATCATTAATATAAGATATGATATTTGTAAAAACATTTTTAAGCTTTATTTTAAAAACGTTTTGAAAATTATTAAGATGTGTACACTCGCATGTATTCAAAGTATAAGGAAAATATTTATTTTACTCTTTACTTTGTTGCAACATTGATATCATTAAATGTACATAATGCATTTCTATGAACTTTGCACGTAAACTATTTTTAAAAAGTTTTTCATTATTTTGAATGGTCTTGTACACCAAAACTCTCAGTCTTAGCCTGAACATTGAGGACTTGATTAGATGTTTGCATTGATATTACACATTTAGTGGCCCTTAAAGGGTTAGTTCACCCCAAAATGAAAATTCTGTCATTAATTACTCATCCTCATGTCGTTCCAAACCCGTAAGACCTTTGTTCATCTTCGGAACACAAATTAAGATATTTTTGATGAAATGTGAGAGCTCTCAGACCCTGCATAGACAGCAACACAACTGAAATGTACCCAGGTCCAGAAACGTAGTAAGGACATCGGTAAAACAGTCCATGTGACATCAGTGGCTCAACTTCAGTTTTGCGAAGCTACGAGAATACTTTTTGAGTGCAAAGAAAACAAAAATAACAATTTATTTAACAATTCTTCTCCCCCGAGTTACGTCTTCCACCATACTGTATCTGTGAAAACTGTTTGTGAGTAATTGTTTATGTGTCTGTGTATGTTTATATGTTTATGTCCCCGTGTTCTACTTGTTACAGAGCTTGTCTGTTACGGATGATTCGATCGCAGGTAGCCCTCGCTCTGTGTTGGCAGGGTTACTCAAAGAGCCCCGTCTCCTCGGGCGCTCGCACACACATACCTTCTCCTCCTGTGAGGTGAGAGGCCATGGGGTCACCACTGCATGAGCTTTTCCTGTAGTTAATGGTTAGCATTCATCATATGTATATATTTGATCAGCCCTGAATGTGAACTTTTGGTTTGTGAGGTGTTTTGAAGAGGAGAGCAAGTATTGCCGGTGGAATGTGTGCGTCGTGAGGGAGGAATGGAAAGAATGAGATCATACTCATAGCTTTGAGAAAGAGGTGATAGTTCAGCATGCATGTCATTCTGTAAAATTTCAGCAAGTCATTTTCAAACCAAACAGCTTTCTTTTCGTCAATGCGGCGAATATGCGTGGCCAACTTGAACACTAGTAAAATCTGTGTGAACTTTTTTGCCCTCACATGAAACTCCCAGTTGCATGCATTCCTATTGAAATGACTGGATTTCACTTGTGAAATTTCATCAGGCACAAGTAAATATGACTTTTAGGCTCTTCCATCTGTGCATAGTGAGGCACAGGAGAGCAGGTTTCTCCCCTCTTAAAACATTCAAGCTGTTCATTCTGTGCTTCCTGCCTATGGTTAGGATCTTTCTGCAGTGAATTCTGTTATCCATATGGAGTATTTGGGTGTGGTTGTGAGTGAGGCAGCTCTCCAGTGTCATTTTTTATGTGCACGGTATGTGGAATTTCCCAAATGATTGCAACAGTCTTCCTACGCCCTGTTGGTAAGATGTTGCCACAGGTAACATTATTTCACAAGTTGTGTCAGTGGCGTCAGTGGCTCAATATTAAAGGAATAGTTTATAATAAAAAAACAATCATTACTAATCCCCCTAACAAGCCTAACAAGCCTGTATGACTTACATTCTTCAAGGAACACAAAAGGAAATGTTCTCTGCTCTTTTAGAAGCATTTTATGAGATGTTCAACTCCAAAATGTTAAAAAAAAAAGCACCATGAAAGTCTCATAAAAGTAGTTTATGACTCACACACTATATTACAAGTAGGGGTGGAACGGTTAAACTTTTTCACGGTTTGTATCTCGGTTTCGGTACGGTTCGGTATGTGCTATGTTTAGGGAAAAACTATACTGTCAAATAAAAATAAAGAAAATAAGAATAATCTATCTAACTACAAGCAACAGCACAAATAAATACAATAGAGTAAAGAAACAAATAAAATAAACAGTGATTTTTTTAGGTAGGTCTAGCATTAGTTTTTAGGTACAGAAATTGAATAAAGTAATCAAAACAGCATTGCATATTTGACTGTATAAATTAAAAATTAATCTTCATTAAAGTTACAAAAGCTAATCAATCAAGAGCAGTGAGTGATTTCTCTGTTGTTGCTGTTCGATTCATATTAAGAAATTGCTGTCACTTTAAGAGAATGCACTGATACGTTCAGCCGGCTATGTCTGCTATAGGATACTTACCAAGACGGGCATTTTGACATAATTTTTGTGTGAGTTTGTCCATTCAAACACAATACTTAAGAGAGAGCTTAATAATTGCGCGCGTTCTGAGATGCGGGTTTGCGCGCTTCGGATGAGTGCATGCACAAATCTTCTCACTGCGCGAGTGAGCTCGCGTCCTCTGGCTCTTAAAGGGTTGGTTCAGTGGTTTTTTTCTAGGCTTGATTGTGTTTATGGGGTGCAGTCTAACATGTTAATGCTTCGTTTTTTTAAAAACACATATTTTTCACATAATTTACCTTTATTCCACACAGCTCTGTCCCTTCTCTGAGAAACGCGCTTATCAATTTCCTGCTTTTATGAAGCCCCTCCCTCAGAAATAGGCAATGGGCTCTGATTGGTTAGCTAGCCCAGTGTGTTGTGATTGGCTAAACCGCCTCTAGTGCGCGCAAAGTACGCTAGTACACCTCAGCGGCATGTGCTCCGGTTGTATTGTAAACAAAGGTGTCGGCAACATTACACACTAACTAACGTTAAAAAAGTGAAATCGCAATGAACCACCCCTTTAAATGTTTAAACTGGCGAAGCTTAAATGAGTTTAGTTTAAACACAGATATCAACGTGTGCTGTTCAGGTCTCACATGTGCACGTGCGCTATCAGCACCCGGGTGATGACGGAATAAATGACTTCTCATATTCCAGCATACGGCATTCGCATTGAACAAGAGTGAATGGTTTGTCCACATTTTATTTATTTTTTTCATCGCTGTTGTTGTAATGTACTGGGAAGCCAGAATGCGCATCCATCAACAGAAACACGCATTAGCCAAACCCTGTTTTTTTTTACGTGTTATTTATAAGAAACCATATTACAGATGCGTTGTCAGATTTAAGTTGAACCGCGGTTCTAGCGCGTGCCGAACCGTGTGTGGAGAACTGTACGTTTCAGTTTTTTTCCGCAAACCGTTCCACCCCTAATTACAAGCCTTCTGAAGCCATACAATACTGTAGTTTTATGTGAGAAACTACATTTCTCACCTATATCTTTCATGCTTATCACTTTCATATCTATATATGAAATTAAATAAATGTGCAAAGTAAATCTCCACAAAATTATTTTTGTTTTGTCAGTGTTTTCCAACAAAATCCTTAAAAAGGCAAAAATATGAAAAGATGAAAGAATAAATAAAAATAAAAGTTATTGACAAATTTATTGTTCCTCTATTGTAAGTCACTTTGGCGAAAAGCATCTGCTAAATGCATGTTAATGTACTAAAAACTTAAAGGGGTCATATGATGCGATTTCAATTTTTCCTTTCTCTTTGGAGTGTTACAAGCTCTTGGTGCATAAAGAAGATCTGTAAAGTTGCAAAGACTAAAGTCTCAAATCCAAAGAGATTATTTTTATTAGAGATATTCTTTATAAAAGTTGAGTCAACCACGCCTACCTAAAACGGCTCGTTCTAACACGCCCCCACATGTCTACGTCACGATGTGGGAAGATTTGCATAACGCCGCCCAAATGTTCACGCAAAGAAAGAAGGCGTAACTTTTATTCTCGCTGTAGTATTGTTGCTGCCGCCATGTCGTGAAGGCGCTGTGTGTTTCGTTGTGAAAGCGAAACTACTTTGTTTGGCCTTCCAAAAGAGGACGATATCTGCTTCGTCATGCCTAGAGCTGATCTGTGCTGGTCGCTGAGGAAATACATCAACTTCGCGCTGTGGATCGCCGGATCAGCTTTCACCGTGGACGAAGCGGAGTCCAGCCCGGTTGCCGCCAAATAATGTTCTTTTTAGCAACATCATATGACCCCTTTAAGAAGATTCTTCTACTTTTATGACCGAATGGTGCGTTTTTTTGTTTTGTTCTGGAGCTTAGCAGCCCCTGGTCACTATATTTTATTGAAAAGAGCTACGACAACTTTTTTCAGAACATCTCCTTTCATATTTTAGTCTGTCTGAGTCTTGCCTCCTTTCTTGATGTCTTCCTCTGCTTCTGACCTGATTTCATAAGTGTGCTCCGGATTTTGTCTGCCCTGGTATGAGTCTGTTGATCTGTAAACACACAAAATTAAAAGGCAGTTTGCATGAAATATGCCAAGCATATGTGGGTTAGCATTCTTTGCATGGGAGAATGGTGTATTGCAGTCTTCCACACCAGTTCTGACATAACTACATTATAAAATGCTCTTGTTTTCAGACCCTTGATGATGGCCCTCTTCCAGCGGCAAAGCAGTACATGTGGCAGAACCGCCCACTTTCCGAGTGGACCAATCAGCAGATCTGCCACTGGTTGATGGGCATGAATATGGAACAGTATATAGCTGAGTTCACAGCTAAAGGTGTGGATGGCCAGCATCTCTTGTGCATGGACAGCAGTAAACTTAAGGTTGGTCCATGTGTTTTTTGATTAATTTTGGGTTGTACTATTGATTTTAAATATTGTTACACTGAAATATGTGTTGTCTTCCAGGAGCTTGGCATTTCTAGTCAAAGAGATCGCTCCACTATTAAGAGGAGATTAAAAGACATGAGGAAGGCTCAGGAAAAACTTGATAAGCAGCAAGTAAAAAAAGAAAAAGAAAGGGGGAGAGAGAAAGAGGCCAAGATTAAAAGCGGCCAATCAACGAACCTTGAATCAGCCTGCTGAGGTAGTAACAATGTCAAGGGCTGCAAATGTGCATGCTCACCGTCCCAAGGAATGATAATTTGTGCTGATAGAAATGGAGTAGACTCTCTCACACACACAGATGATTTGTAGACTGCTGAGAAAGTAACAACATGGGTGAACACATCAAAATGCCAGAGGTTTTCTGCCAGTAAAGCCTGACGGAACACATATTACTGTAAATGTGTCTTTGATAAGCTTGTTATTAATATCTCTTTTTGACACAACCCAGGAGTTAAAGAATTGATTCCTGTCCATCACACTGACATTCAACATGCATAATGGCACTCTGAGAAAATGGGAACTTGATCTAATTATACAGAAAGGATGTCATTGCCTTTAACTGATTTGCTTGAGGGCTATGAGTGTTGAGTGTTATAAAATGCTGCACATGGTGCTAAAAACTATTTTACAGCTGTCCACCAGAGGGCACCGATGTTAAATATCTGGCAGTCAGTAAAAATGCCGAGATTGTTAATCTCGTTCTTTCGATTTAAACGGCAATTTATCATGAGCCAAACTGCTAGTGCACACTCTGCACTTTAGCCAAAAGTGAACTAACAATCCACGTGTGAATGTCTCATGTGATGCGCACACATTCCCAGGGTTAATAGAGCACATCAGGTAAGCTTCGGCTACCTCTCCTAGTGTGCACTTTTAAGTGAGCACTTCACCACCCTGGACTTTTCTGGTTTGGAAAGAATCACCTTTTTTATGTCTACTGTACATAACTCATAGTAATGTACATTTTACTGCAGAGAGGAGAGTAATTCATTGTCTTCTATGTCACAAATGATGATTTTACATGTGTATTAATAAATATTTTACAATTATATAATTTTATTTATGTATTTTTTAATAAATGTCTGGGACATTTGTTTGTACCTTATGACACATGTAGCTGCAATGATATTTCATGAACTGTAAATTTAATTATCTTTCAAAGCACACCTGACAAATTGATTTTGCATTGATTTAGATGTTTTGCGTCAGCTTAGCGATCTACCTACATTTTATGTGATTTCATATCGACATGTGAAAATGCTTTATTGACTTAGCCTTATTATTATTATTTGATACTTTATCTTATGCAGGTTGGTAGAGGTACTATTGATCAGTGGCAGCTCGTCGGGGTAGGCAGGGGAGGCACAGCTTCCCCATAATTTTGAGGTGAAAATGGGAGGAGGACGATTTAATGTTAATAAAATTCACAATTCATTTCAGTTCATGTCTCGGAATGTGTATTTTTTTTGTTTGTAATTTCAGTTGTAATATCATAACGTGAAAGCGCCGCTTTTCTATCGTGAATGTGCCGAATCTGCTGATGTAATTACAACCGCTAATGATAGAGAAGGGGAGGGGGAGGCCGGGGGAGAGGTGAGCTCTCGTGCCTCCGTTGGTAACAAAAACTAGCCAATCAGCATCGAGTGTTCATTCACTTTCAGCGCTGAGGAGTGTTGAGAAAAGAAACCTCATAAGGGAGGCTAGCCTCCCTTCTGATATCAACCAATCACCACAGAGACGTAAATTACGTGATATTAGTTTGAACGTCTGCCGCTGCGCTGATAATGTACCAAGTACTTATGATGAGTAGCGATATTAAATATTTGATTGCCAACAGATTTACCAAGCTGTCATTCAAACAGTATATTTACAAATTTAGGGAAAACAGCCTAAGCTGGATATAGGCTACAGCAGTCGCTTAATTAAATGGCGCAACAGGCAGCTGTCTTTTAACACAGACTTTTAAGAAGGGATGGATGTTTGCTTCAAATGATAGGCCAGGTAAGTGAAATTATATTTTCTTGCTGTATGTGTCGTTTTCTTTACGTTTTCTGACTAAAAGCAACCAAAAAGCCATTTTAAAGTGGTTAAGCAAATAATATATTAATAATAATCGGCAGGGATCCCAGACCAATACAATTAGTGTGCCTCCTCTATTTTAAAACCCACGAGCCGCCACTGCTATTGATATAGGATCCCAGTAACCTTTGTTTATAAATAAGCCTTTCCAGGTTTTAAATCTATAAACTTTGAAGAAGGCATGTTTGTAGCAAAATTGATTTGACAGTATGTTATTGTTTTAAATGTAGTGACAATGAAAAAATATTAAATTATTTCACTATTAAAATGTACATGCATTACATGTGAATTAATTGCATTAGCTACATGTGAAATTTTTAAGCAGAAAGACTGATATAGTATTTTCTTGTAAAACGCACTCCAATAATCTGTTCACACTTTACATTTTTAGTGTGCGTTTGTGTGATAGCCTTTAGTCTATACATACATACACTAGCACAGTGTTTCCCAACCGGGGTGCCGTCTGTCGAGAGCAGGGGTGCCGTGTAAAAAAATCATTAATATCCATTTCTAATGTCGCCAATAATTAGAGATGCACTGAAATTCCGGCTGCCGAAAATTAGTTCACTGCTCAGGATTCACTTTCACGTGGTGTGACGCTTTGCGTATCCCGCTCTATGTGTGCGCTCCGTTCAGTCGCTCCACTTGTATACCGTTCATGCTCATCGGAACAGCAAAATCCACTCAAAAATTGAGCCGGCAGGAAACATCGATGTAGTACAGTATTGTTTCTGTCTGCAATAGCCCTACTGTGTTGTAACATGGTGTGGTATATGGGCAACTTTGGTAACGCTGCCCTCTCATTCATTGATCTGCTAACCGCTATGTTATGCTTGCCTGTTCTAAACAGACTAATGAATAGCTCGACACAACTTGTGACGGAGCAGAGTCTAGACAAGGCTTTCTTCTGTGTAGACCAGCAGTTCTTAAAGTGATAGGGGGTCCGAGAAATAATTAGCTATAGCCTAAAGTATTTCCAGACCGTAAAATCACTTTTTTTATAATGATACATAGGCCTACTGTGATTTATTGCAAAGTGACTTATATGATGCATTTAACGTCAAATAATCTAAATGAAGCCTTTTAAAAGAAGAGTATTCCCTGTGGTTCATGCTTGTGGCATGCGCTGGAAAGATGCTCAAGGAGACCGAGACGTGCTAAAGCAGCGCATTCCGTTGTTCTCTTTATTTTTCAAATTTCATATTTTTCTCATCAAACAGACTAATGAATAGCTCGACACAACTCGTACCGGGGCAGAGTCTAGACAGGTATTTCTTCTGTGTAGACCAGCTGTTCTTAAAGTGATAGGGGGTCCAATAAATAATTAGCTATAGCCTAAAGTATTTCCAGACTGTAAAGTATTAGCCTACTGATTGCCACCATTGATGGACAATTTTTTTTGAATAATATTAAAAATATCTGTATGACATTATATATTCTGCAGTTCTTCCCTGTTATACCGAATATCTATACTTTTTAAATTATCATATCGAAGTTAGAAATTCAAATATTGTGACAAAATTAATTTTGTAGGGTGCCACAAGTTTGTTAACATTTCCAAAGGGTGCCGCGACTAAAAAAAGGTTGGGAAACACTGCACTAGCATATTGCTTGCCTTAAAGCTAATACACATGCTTATACACTAATATGCACAAAACTCAACATTTTATTTAATGGAGTCACTATTTTATGAGAAAATTAAATAGTCAAGTTTCTGATAAAAGCAGAACATGTTTCACTAGCTTGAGCTTGTGATATTGGTGTATTGGTGTGTGATATATAGGTAAGACAGAGTGGAGGGCATTCACTACGGCTGCTGCATCTGTCTCAGTCTGAATGATTGCCTCAGTATGAGTCTTGGTCTGCGTCACCTGCATCAGTTTCTGTGCCTGTCTACTTCACAAGTCTATGCCTGTTTATCAACGCTACATCTTTGCCAGTCATGCCAATCACTAATCCTGTGCTCATGTCTCAAGTATTAGAGCCATTGTCTGTTGTGTAGCTCAATCTTGATTTGTCTGTACCCTCTGTTCAGGTGTCTGCTCCATCAGACCCATTATGAGTCTCCATATTTCATCAGTTAGTCTGATTACATGTCGTCGAACTCTGCACGTCTTTTGTATCTATCCGCAGCACCATCTCACGTCAGTCCTTAAAAGTATATTCCAAGATTATTCAGATTTACAGCTGACAAAACCCCCAAAACAATTTGTTTAATTAAAAAATGTGTACCTCACCAATTTAGGTCCAGCCTAAAAAACTTTTTTTGGCATATGACTACCAAATATCTAATAATCAATTTCATTAATTCAGTCTCAATTTTGTGTGAGCTAATAAATTTAAGTAGCTAAAATTCAGACATCACCACTGACCAATTCAACGTCACTTTACACATAAACAGAATTAATACTTTTCATTATTTGAGCATTTGCATTGCCAAAAGGTGCTGTTTTAAAAAATTAAAGCAACTTCACATTCATACAAAGATAATTTCAAATGACCTTCAAAAATTAAAAGAAGAAGCTGATCTTACAATGGATTGTGGCAGCTGATAATATATCAAACATCTATTTATAACAAAGTAGTTCTTAATAAATCAGTCCCAGTTTTAGTAGTTTAAGTACAGTGGGGGAAAAACCGCGTATGAAAATAAAATATGTACCTGAATGGTTTTAACAACAAATAAAAAATAAAAAAATCCAGACACATATTTACATTCATCTAAGCAGTTTTAGCTGGATATCAAGATAAGAAAAAAACGAACCAAGAAGTCCTGACTCACACAAGCCATTCATAAAACAAAACAAAAATTAAAAATCTTTGGCCTTTGTACAAAAGAACCATCTGCTGTGAATAAATACATTAAATGTATATACATTACTGTGTGCATGAGAAGTGAATTGTGATATGAAAACGGGGTGGAACATGGAAGCAAATTTTAATATAAAACAAAACTCAAGTAAACCTATTTTTTTTATCCTTGTTCATCATATGTCTTCCAGACACCATTTTGTAATACAATCTCTAAAAATCTCTATCAAGCTCAAATGATTCCTTACACATTTTGATGTTGTAGTAACAGTAAGAAAAGTTCAGTGTGTGCAAAAATAAGCATTAAAGGCTTTAGGAAGGGAGTCTTTGGTTTGCTTTCAATCAGGTTAGCATTTAGCTATGAGTAGCTCTCATTCTCATTCCAAGAAGTCATCCATTGTTTCTTCTCTGGAGGATCCATTTCCTCTTTCCCTGGCTCTTTTCCCCTCTCTTCCCTCTTTATCCGCACAGCATTATAACTGGGGACGCTTTCGTCATATTTGGAACGTTTGAAAAATCCACACTGTTCAGAAAAAAAAAGACAATTAGCGCAAGTTCATGCTAACAATGCTAAACAGCATCATTTATACAGGAAAATGAGCAAAAACACAGACGTAGTGTTGTTTGCAGTGTGTGCAGCATGCCTAGCATGAGGAAAGAACAAAACATTCAATGTTTTAAAGATGATATAAGCAAGAATCGGGCAGTATAAAGAACTGTATGTGCCGAAAGCGAGAGTTGCTCCGATAAACATCCCAAGCAGGTCAGAGAAAAGTGCAAGTTTCTAAATCAAGTTAAATCTCAGTCATACACAGTCACACGTACTTGAAAGCTGAGTGAATGCAAACATGTATAAACCCTTTGCCAACAACAACTT